TTTAAAACCCAACTCTCATGCCATTAGAAAGAGGATCATGAAAAACCTATAAAAAGATGGTTCATGAAATTTTAGTTCACTCATAAAGCTAAAGTCCGCTTGCTCTAGCAAAAAATGCCCACTGTGCATCTTTTCTTTTATAACTCTAAGAATTTCTACTCCGAGAAAAATGGTGACACACGTTTTTGTAGAGAATTAAATGGCGCATCGTTTAAAAAAAGGTTTGAGCAGATTGCACGAAAAATGATGGAGTTATCGCAAAAACAAAAAAGGGGCATTTGACCTGGGACACCCGATATTTACGTCAACTCGTTTAAAAATTTGTTCTTTTTTCCTTATTATTTATTTGATAAATCCATCGTTTCACAGATCCCGGAGATCGTTGTTGATCTCACATTTTTCGTGAATAAACATGGTATTAACCATGAAGTTGTATCAGTTCGTCTGAGTAAATTCATACGGCAAACATTGCATCTCTAGAAGAACATTATGAAAAATGTAAGATCAAAAACGATCTCCGGGATCTGTGAAACGATGGATTTATCAAACAAAAAATAATAAGGAAAAAAACAAATTTTTAAACGAGTTGACATACATAATAGCAGAAAAAGAAAAATATTAAACGCGCTAACAAATATAGAATAAAGAACGAGAAGTATTAAAACATGATTAGTTTCGAGAGTTAGTGTGTGTGATTTTATACTTAAATAACATTAATAAATGTGAAACAGATAATTGTATATTAGTGGAATCCGTCTTCTTTTCATTCTTTTTCTGTTGATTTCCAACAAATTAATTGTTAAACTCAAACAACACAAATGATCAAATTAATAAAAAGACAAAAAAATTGCCTCGCTTATTAAACAAGAGTTGCAGTTAATTTCGCTATATCTTTTATGACTATATGTTTGCTCTTTCTAGAAAAAACTTATAGTAAAAAGCCTGCCTTCATCCTTCATATTTGACTGACACACGATTTTGGCAGAATTTGACTACTTTAAAATGCCAATCTCAAAGTTAAGTGTACACTTATAAATGAGACCGAAAATTGTTATTACAATTACTGCCAATCGGCTAGAATGAAAAGAAGAATTTTGAACATGCAGTTTTTCAGAACTTATTCCCTCAGCAATTACGATTTCCATTACTTGTAGAAAATCTTCTATATACACAACAAGTGTCCATGAAAATAAAAATAATGTGGTTGATTATTAATTTTCTTAAAAGAACAGATCTCAAAAATGAACCAATCAAGTTCTGGCTTTGTACCTTAAATATGGGGCAATTCTAATTTGAACTTTTTCAATTACTTATGCTCGACTTCCTAGAGCGATGAATGAACGTGGGTTTTGTATATCTGTATTTCTAGATGTTGGTGTGTCAAGATGAGATGCGAATAACTGCCACTTGTTCAATACATGACAAGTGAGAATGATATAGTAAACTATGGATGGGTGGCTTAATGATTCCTTTTATTTTCTCGTTCAATTCTACCACACGTTTGTTTGTACACTATAATCCTCTTCACATTTTATCTGCAAAGAAGAGAGTGGGCTCCATTCGAGTGATAACATTACTACCATTACACAGATGAATGTCTAAAAACTTGTATTTAACCAGTCTGTACCACCAATTGATACTTCGTTTTCTTCTTTACTTTTTGTAAATAGTTTCGTTTCTTCTACCGTGTATGGCTCATCTTCTCTTTCTGTTTCACAGTCTCTGGCTATTGTCTCACCTGTGACTGCTCCTGTGTCTCTTTTTCCCTAGACTTGCTTTTGGCGACCTGCGTTGTCGTCCTCTGAACTTTGAATTTTCAAGTTCTTGATACTCTATCTGCTATTTATCAACTACTGATCCTTCTGAAGCAGCAAAAATTTGGACTCTTTAAGTAAACAGCTGCATTGAGCGTCTTGTGCCTTTGAAAAAAATTAAATTAATCATGAAACCCACTATTGAACATATCTCTCTATCAAAACTTACTAGAAAATATATGCAAAAACAAAATCGTAGTTTCAGAATATGGAAAGTTAGAAAGACAGTTGATAGTCATGCTATTTTTAACTTCTTACGAAACAAAGTTTTATAATCGCTGCGTGATGATCATAAAAGACGACAATTTAAACGGATACTTTCTCTTTTTTTCGGATCCAACGCGTTTCTGGTCAAGTTTAAAAAAGTTTCCTTCTGGGAAAACGGAACTTTTCTTAAGACAGATTCTGCAACTGACGTTGAAAAGTTAGTTCAAGAGAAAGTCAGTCGTATCGGCACTTGGTGTGAGAGAACATTGACAAATATTCATGGACATATGTTTGTTTAGATCCTAAATTCGAATTTGATCTATCTTTTTCTCTCAGTAATAAACCTTTGAAAATATGTCTTAAATATGTCGGCATATGTCTTATGATCTAAAATGGACAATTCATATAAACAAAACAGCTTCATCTTGTAGACGTATGTTAGGCGCTGTTAATAGAGTTTTTCGTGATGCGCCTCCTTCTCTTAAACTACACCTCTATAAGTCTTACGTAAGTTCTAAAATTGACTGCTGTTCTGCGATTGATGACACTGGTTTTAGCACTCATACAGAGTCGCTGAAGCTCTTCAGTGCTTTGCTGCTAGAATCATTATTAGAAATTTTAACCATCAAAATGGCAGCCGCGGTACAGTTAAAAAACTTGATCTCCTTGATATGAAATTAGGCGTCTTTACTTTCGATTAATCAATTTCTATCGTTTACTCAATAATTACTCTTTACTTAGTTTTTCTACTACCAGGGCATCGGATCGTAATAATTTTCTTTCTCGCTGCGTCACGGTCTCTTTTACTGACCTCGAAACCGTGGAATCATCTTTCTTTTGGCAAACATCGGTTGACTGGAACACTATTGAATGACTCTCTTGCAAACGCTTCCAGCTTACATCTCTTTAAACTTAATTTACGTGGACTTTTTACATTGTTGATTTTCTTTTTCTTTTTGTTACTCTCAACGTCCTATATATGAACGTCTACTCTATTATTTCAAACTTACTTCATTTCTCTAGAGGTATATTTTATTTTTAGCGTGTTTATACAGCAGGATTTCTCGTTTCAAGCATTTTGTATTAGCTGTGTTTTTTCTACTTGTGTTATTGAGTATTCATGATCATTGTGTCAATAAATTGAATTAAACTGAACTAGTTTCTATTCTGTACGCCACCTGAATGGAAAATCTCTTTATTTAGTTTAAAAGAAGGTGCTAAACTTTGAAAAACAAAGAATATACCATCAGTGAAGAAGGTGAATGGATGAATTTATTCACAATAAGTGAGAGATTATTATAGGTACTTGACCTTCAGCACAATGAGCCTTTACAAGCAAATAATCAAATAAAAAAACCTAAATATGTATTTCAATAAAATAGATAAGATAAATAAAGGCAATAACTGGCCAATATCTACAAAATTTTCATGTCAGGGCAAGGTACTAAATTGTGCTATCTAATTGGCAACTGTTGTTTATCAAAAATAATATCTTGCAATTCTATTTCAGACTATCGATATATTTTTTTGTATATGTTTCACGATTTTCGTGTATTTCTAAATGTTAGCAACATGTTCGAATGTGTTACAAATCTGGAATACCAATGATTATTCACTACTATCAGAATATAGCGGAGTAGACAATGGAGATGTTCTCAAATGTGTTGATTGGAAAAAAGATGATTGTATCCTTTTCAAGGGTGTTTTTCGTATCTCTCTCTCTCAACCGTTAGATGTAGCAACACTTATTCTACATTTATTAGCACAGTGTTTGTATTCACTCTAGAAGAAAAGTTGTATGATGAATATCTAATGCATTATTTTGATTTTGCTTTTTGAAACTGTTTTATAAATTGAGTAGCCTTTTCTTCTACTGTTGTTTATCAAATTCTCTGAAAAGAAAAAGTTATGTCATCTTTTTTTAGTGAAACTGTTTTTTCTTAACTGTTCTTTTTACAGCTAATTATTTAGCATATACATATAAAAGTAGTGGAAAAGTCCATTTATATGATATACAACAGAATACAGCCGTTGAATTAGCAGAAGTAAGTCATACGTTTCAATTTTATCTGCAGTATTTAATAGCATATGTTTTTTTAAAGACAAAAGCTCAATGGTGTTCATTTAGTTTATCGGGCAAATTATTAGCTATATCAAATAAAGATGGCTATTGTAATATTTGGGATACCAAGTTTGGAAAAATAACTCACAATTTCAATGTAAGTTATTTGGTAAATCTAGAAAATGACGATTGATCACGTGATTAGTCCAATTCTTTCTGTTCTAAATGTTAGTGCACGAAAGTGCCGTAGTTTGTAGTTTTACTTTCTCTCTTTTAAAACTGACTTTTGCGTATCTAGAGTGTTGATTCGTCATCAATTGAATGTATCTGTTGGTCTCAAGATAGTTACTTGGCATGTGGTACAATATCCGGAAATGTTTTCTTATATAATACAGTTACAAAACAACTATTCGCCGCGTTCACACATAAACAAGGAACAACAGATAAAGTACGTTTTTATTCAAATTCTTCTGTTGCCTTTTCATACTGCTCTACCCTGTTTTTTAGTTATCCGCTATAACATCGATTAAATGGTCTCCGCATAAAGATCTGATCGCCACAACATCAACAAATGGTATTTTATCATTATGGAATTATCGTCTCAAAGAATGCATAATCAAAATAACAACACACAAAGCCCCAGCTACCGATCTTGTATTTTCACCCACTCACGATTCATTCATGGTTGTTAGTGGAATGGATACATCAGTAGCGTGTATCGATGTACAAACACAAAAGTAAGACCCATTTTTAATATTTAAAATAAAAGAGGAGTTATGCGACAAAGTTTACGAAGGGTTGTGTCTGCTGTGGTCACTGGAACTTAAATTATGTTGTTAAAAAGTTGCAACTCTTTTGTACTCTAAGGCTTCAGTGTGTGTGAGATAGAAAGAGCACGGATAAGATGTTTTAAAATGGTAAGGGAAAACAGTTTCCAGAGGTGCAGAATCTTCCAAAAAATAAAAAATTTTCCCACCCACGAAAATTTTCAAAAAACTCCCCAGCATAGTACTTTTCAAAAATTTCCCCACCCGCGCGGGTGCGCACGAGGAAGATTATGCACCTCTGACAGTTTCTTTTATCTATCGAGTGGTCCAGATATAATGGGTGTTTTTTGTTTTCTGTACTTCCCCATACAGTCTCAACCTTTTCGGAATATTTTTTAACCAAAAGATGCGCCGTGAAAGTCTCAACGAAACCATACCTAAACTTCAATTTCAGAACTTTAATCAAGAAAACTATACAAATTATACAAAAGACACAAAAAATGAAAACTTTTTAAAGTCAAAAACGATTTCCTGTATTAACGTTTTGAAAGTAAGAAAACCTAAATCAGCCATTATGTAGCCCTCACCTCATGTCACGCAACAGAAAACAAAAAACACCCATTATATCTGGACTACTCGATATTCTGATAGGCGAGTGTATCTGCTTTTTAGACAATATAAAAGAATTTTATCATTGAAATGATTAACTACCGTTACTCACAATTAGTTTTCGTTTTTCATTCATCTAAGAAGTGTAGCGTCTATTCCGATATAGTTACCATTTATGGAGAAATATGCTAAGCCCATCTTACTTTGTTTTTTGCCGTTATTAGTTTCAATTCTCTAACGTGCTATTCTGATGCATTTCAAGACGTTCAATGTTTTGTCTCAGGATATTTGAAAATGAATAGTGAAAAAAGTATAACTGACGTATGTCAATGAGTCATTTTGAGATAGTATGATTAAAAAAAGAAAATTTGAAGAAAGAACAGCTGCACATACAATATGTCTGTGTCACGTGTTAAAAAAAACGTTCTTACTATTATAGATGCCCATTCAGTATTGAGCAAAAACATGTCTTCCGTGTCTAAAAGAAATTACTGCATTATTGTACAACAAAATAAGGACTCTGGTATAGAAAAAATTTGTTTAATCATGAGAGTTATATTTTTTAAGAAATATTCATTTGTGTCACGCGACTGGTTTTACTAACTTTTCTCGTTTTATTTGTTCTATAGGTTATTATCATCCATTCCGTTGAATGCTCCATTAACATCGGTCGATTTTCATAGAGAAGGCTCAATTATTGCTTGTGGCACATTAGGACATGGTACCTACATTTTAGATCTAAGAGATATGCGAAAAATAATGAATACATTAGTGAATGATCAACATAAGAACGTTTATGCAGTCAAGTATGAGATGCAAACACAATTCAATAGTAACACCTTGCCATCTAGATCAAAAACTACCACACCAGTCCTAGACACAACAGCACAACAACAAGAAGTAGGTATGTCAGACACTACGCCTAAAGGTCTCTGGTGTTTTTTGTTATATTTTTAGAAAAATCTGAGTACTTTTGGCTCATTAGCTCAAAAACGCACAAGACACACATCATCATCATCTGTTTCAACACCAACAACAGAAACAGCACCGACTTTACCGGTTCAACGCACAACACAGCATTACGCTACACAACCACGAGCAACACGTTCAACATCCCAAATTTATCGAAATGGTGGAAGTATATCGAATGCGAATAGTAGCACGATAAATGATACTCAAGATGGACGAGCGAAAAGTAAGAAAAACTGCTGCTATTTTCGACACTCTATTAGATACAATCGTGCAATAAATTAACACGTTCATTATGATCTGTCTTTAGCACCTACACCGATAACGCCCACAAGAAGACGTAAGCATTTATTTTTTCAATAGTATGTGTTTTTAATTAAGTTCTACTATTCTAGATACAGAAAAAATACAACCAAATCATCTAAATGAATCTAGTTCTATTAGTAAAGTAAGTTGAACTTAAAAGATTTAAAACTGTACTGTTATATCGCTATAATATACACGATGAAGTTCTCCAAAGTATAACTTAAAAACTTTTAAGAGACATAATGAACACATATTGTTCTATTAATTCTAGTCTAATTCAACAATTTCAATAAAAAACAGTTCGATGAACTTTAGTGATTTTCTTCAAATATGTGGTGTTTCATCTGGTCCACAACAGGTCACAAATGGTCATTGTATGTGTATTTACAGGAGTTCTTTATTTTTATAACATGGTACAAGTCTCACTATCTGTCTTTTTCTATTTTATTTCAGCTTCCACTGACACAGTAACTCCAACAATGGTAACAATAGGTAACAATGACGAGCAACATGATTTAAGGCAATTATTAGAAAAATATGCCAATGATATTAAAGAGGAAATGAGAGAAGAAATTGAAAAACAAAAATTAGCAAATCAAACATTTTATTTTGTTGAATTACAGAAACTCAGGGTAATTATAGCTAAAACAAAATATTTTTGTTCATGTGAACAAAAAAATATTTATTTTTCTATTGCTTTAGTATGAGATGCGTGATTTATTTGAATCTTATTCATTAAACCAAGAACTTGTCGATGAATTAGAACGTTTACGCGCAGAAAATAAACGTTTAAGAAAATTACAGCCAAAATAATAGAACAAACTTTTTCCTTAATCAATGAAGTGCAGTGCATATGGAAAAGATTTCTAAGCCGTATTTTGGTTTTCTTTGTAATTAATACTGTCTCTCGCTCTCTCACTCTATATTGGACAATTTTTTTATAGAATTTAATCGCTTGGTGCTGTCTGTACTAACTGCTTTATACGATTTTCTTTTCATATGTTTGTACATAACTAAACTTCGTTTATATTATTTTTTTAATATCTCACTTCAATAAGAAAATGTTTCCAAGAATAGAAGTTTTTCAACTTTATTCATATACACTTTATTCTTCCAGAATATAAACAGAATAAATTCTTATTATTATATTCTAAAATTTAAATTATCGAATAATAGAGAATCAGTTCTATGTTTTTTCATTTATTTTTTCTCTAATATTTTAAATTTACATTCACTGTATTGTAGATAAAATCGAGCCATTTAAAATAGTAAAATGGAAACGTATATACCAGATGGGGAAACAGTTGAAAAACAGAGTAAGATTGTTTTTTTTTTGTCAATATTTTGCTTGATGAGATACTACATTTTTACTTCTTCTTTAGACGAAGAACAACAGCAAACTGCTTCATTATCCACTTCAACTACAAAACCTCAACCAACAACATTAAGAACAACATTTGAATCAGTAAAACCGCCTACAGTTATTAGATCGGTGCCAATAGCATCATCTCGTTCAATCTATTCTCTATTGCCAAAACCACGATCGATTCCGATTCGTGTAGAAAATCCACAATTACCTGAAACAGTTACCGTTCTCAAAGATCCGAATACAAATGGAACAATTTATCTTATTGGCACTGCTCATTTCAGGTGTGTTGATACTGTGAATGTCAAATTGAGTATGAAACTTGTTTATCAGCTAAGATTGTTCAAACACATGTTTGAAGCATTGATAAACATTTTCAACGTGTATTTTATATTTTAGTGAAAAAAGTCAACGAGATGTCGCTGAAGTATGTACGTTAGTTCGGTTAATTTTAAACGTATTACTAATTTACTTAGATATTTTCATTTTTATCCAGGTAATTCAATTAACTCAACCGGATATTGTTATGGTTGAATTATGTAAAAGTCGCGTAAATGTTTTATCGCTAGATGAACAAACACTAATGAAAGAAGCAACAGAAATGAATTTGCAAAAACTTCGGGCACTCATCAAATCGGTCTGTTTACTAGTTGATTTTCTATTACAATTAGTTGATTTAGAAACTTTGTTTTTCTATTTGCAGAACGGTGTTATCCATGGTGTAATCCATGTATTATTGCTAAGTATGACAGCACATTTAACGAAAGAATTAGGCATGGCACCTGGAGGTGAATTTAGAGCGGCATTTCGAGAAGTAAGTCATACATAAATGTTTTTTCTCCTCAAATATATACATTATTGGATACATGATCATGTAGTCATTAGCAAATTGACCATTGTTCATGTTGTTCTAGGCTAAAAAGATTCCAAATTGTGGCATTATTCTGGGAGATCGTCCAGTTACTATAACACTGAAACGTGCCATTAATTCCTTAACATGGTGGAAAAAAGTGAAGTTAGCATGGTCCTTATGTACATCAAAAGAGAAAATAACGTAAGTATGAAATTTTAAGAAATAATTAGATATTTAAGTAAAAATTTGTTAATATAAAACTTTCGATATCATCGTCAAACTAAATAGGATATATTGAACTGTTAGTTTATTTTACGATTGTATCTGGTGAGATTCTGCCATTATTCAAACGGTGACTTTACAACTAAATGAAAAACATTTACTCTACTTTTATAATTCATTACACTAGTTAATTTTTAAAAATTTATAATTGTAGAAGTGAAGATGTTGAAAAGTGTATGCAACAGGATATGTTAGAGCGTCTTCTATTAGAAATGAGTGGTGATTATCCAGAATTATCTCGTGTATTCGTTGAAGAACGTGATCAGTTTTTAGCCTATTCATTAAAAAAATGTGCACAACCCATACCAATTGAAACAACAGCAGATGGTAAATAATGCATGTAATCTATTTTTTTAATACTTGTAAATGCTGATTATTTTAGGTTTTGTTCCGTCGACTGTTGTCGGTGTTGTTGGAATTGGTCATGTGCCGGGTATTGTTAAGAATTGGGATAAAAATCTGGATGTATCACAGTTAATGAGGTAAGTAGTAGTACTCGTCTCATATTCCTTTTTTATACTAACTTGTCATTGTTTTTTTAAGTATTGATCCTTCCTCCTCATCAACTTTATCTGTAAAAACGTCATCAGCAGTAATGAAGCGTGATTATGGTTCAATGGCGTTGAAAGTGGCATGTTTTGGTGCAATATTTGCTGCTATATTCCATTTTGCTAAAATTCGATTACGTTAGAAATAGAGAATTGTCGACACACTTTTCGGTACGGTTCGGAACTTTAATTTTTGTTACCTATTGAGACACTTAAAATATTTTGTTTCAAACGTCAGATTGTGGAGAAGAAAATACGATGGTTTTTAGCATCGCGGAATGTTTATCTGAGTCGCTACATTTGAACAGAGATCCAGAACATCTTGATTTATAAAGAAATTATTTTTCTACAATCTGACATTTAAATCAAACATTTTGAGCGAAATATTGGTAGGGAGAGTATGAAGTACCGAATGATATTAAAACAAGTACCTGCAATTTTCTAGTTGGAAAGATGAAGTCTGAAGATAATTTGAAAAGTTATGTAATATGGGAAATATTCCATTTTTTTCTTTGTTAAGAGACCAAAACTATTTTTGTCTCAATTTTTATTTTTATTTTATCTGGTATTTATTTGAATTATGGGAGAGATTTAAAACCGCTTTTCATTTGTATATTCATGTACAATGCTCTGCAAAATAAACAAGAAAAATATGGCAGTGTCGAAACTCATTTCTCAATAGATATTTTGCTACTCCACTGTATAGAATAGATGACGTTTATTCTGTAAAAAACATGGAATTCACAAGGCGAGATTATTAAAAAGCTGAATCTCGTGATACTATATATTTTTCAGAAAACGGAAGTGAAAATGTTGGACGTGTGTTTTTATAGTTTTAGCAGCAAAAAAGTCAAAAAACGTGTTTTTACATAGTTGAATGTACAAAGGTATACGTATAACCATGATTTGAAACATGTCTGAAAAAGTTGATATTTCAAAGGAATCGAACATTGTGTAATATATGTATATGCGAAGTATCTTGTTTTCTGATTCTTCCTCAGATGTAGCACTATGAAATTAAAAAAAGCAGAGCAAAACACAAAATGACAAGATTGTGTTTATAGCTAACCCGATATCTTGTCTCTGACGAGAGAAACAGTGTACATAGAAATCATTAAGTTACGATAGATGAGTAAAATATAAGCCAAACCGAGTAAATAAGACGTGAGGGGAGAAATAATAAAATTGTATCTGTGAGTGAAAAGTAGATGTACATGAGATATGCGTTGCGTAGGTGACATTTTAACTCAGATATCACTCACGTCCCATATTACATAACTTTTCACATTCTCTTTAGACTTCATCTTTCCAACTGAGAATTGCAGGTATTTGTTTCAATACCACTCGGTACTTCATACTTTCTCTATCGATATTTCGCTCAAAATGTTTGATTTAAATGTCAGATTGTAGAAAAATAATTTCTCTATAAATCAAAGTGTGTTGGATCTCTATTTAAGTGTAACGCAATAAAAAGTCATTGTTAAAATTAAAAGTATAGGGTATTTTTTTTATCAGTCTTCTTTTGGCTGACACACAAAGTAAAAAGGAAGAGATGCAGATAACTTGACCAAAACGAAATATGCGTTACTTATACCGGTTACTCGACTCACTTAGTACATGCCTGACACTAAAACTCGAGCAATTCATTGTCATGTTTTAATTTACGACATTTATCATGCAAAATGTGACATGCTTGGCAAAGATCACAACTCAATAAGTGAAGAGGCTTCACTATCACTATCTTGGTTATGAACACCATTTTCCTCTAACAATGTATGTACATTGTCGTTGAGCGAAATTTGCATTTGTTATTCTGTGACCATGGACTGAGCGTAGACGTTATAAATGCAGAGCGAACGCAAACGTCGTGTACTCATGATGGGAAATGCACTCACATGTTTTCTAGAGAAAGCTTTTCTTGTTCAGCCCAAACTATTGGACACACAAATTATTTCTAATATTTTTTGCATTAAAAATTGTACTCATATTCTCAAGAAGAACGCTCGTAACTAATGGTCAATGAAATATTTTATATGTACATTGCAACAAATGAATATACTCATACAAGCGTGTGCCATTTGATGTCAGATCTTACCTGGCAATATCTTACTGGTTCAGACATGCTTATGCCGACGTAAAAGAATGCGTAGGTCGTCAAAAAGATGCTGAGACAACCGAGGAGCAAATATTTCTTTCGAAGACTCCAAAATTAATAATTTCAGGCTGAAAAAATACAGTGTTTTCGTGAAGCGTTACTTAATACGTTAGCTCAAAAATCATAAAGCACAGCACCCATCAAGTTTCGTTTTTATATTGATCGATGTTTTTTAGACTCAATGGTATATATATATATATACGTTATTATTGACTAAAGTATTTGTCTGAAGAAATATAATGTTTATCTGATAGTCCCATTAGATACTCTTTAAGTTATTATCAAAAAACAACAACATCACTGTCAATATTACCAGTTGTATCAATTAGTAATTTGACATCATGAAAGAAAGATACATGACAAAAAGAAGAAGCATTTTGTATACAAAAGAAGACGACATATAGGATACAATGACAAATTATTATTTTTGTAACAGAAAAACTTTAATGGTAGCTGTCTACATTCTCTCCCTCCGAAGGTTTTTGAAAGCAAAAAAATACTCTTAATAAAATAACTGACAATATAGTTTTAGGAAGGTAAGCAGCGTAGCATGCTATATATTAGTTAAGCAATGACACTTTGTTAGAAAATCCGAGTTTTGCTCACAAAATTAGCTCTTATTTTCGGGGTCCTAACATAAGTCAAAAGAATAAACTTTTTTATTCGAATGATGCTAAAGCTGATTTTTCAAAGCCAAAGACGAGAGCTACAAAGGCTTATGTTTCTGTAAAATATTCTTGTCTCAGCAGCACTGCACGAGGCTAAAGATGTGAAATATATTAAACCAATGTAGAGGACCAGATCGATTTATATTTACTGACCATTCATAAGCGTTTAACTTCGTTTCAGGCGACATACCTGTTACAAGAGCAAATGGAGATGAAATACCTGTCTCTGACCCATCTTTTAACATCCATTCTATTTTTAGAAGAAACGCTGGTAACTGTAATTTATTCTGCAGCGTGTATTTTTGTTTTATGATGGCATTAATCGATTCACAATCATTATTTGGGTCTTAAGAGTGAAGTTAGTTTTATTTACTTACCAGCAGAGTAATTTTGTTACTCATTAACTAACAAAGTAATTATAAAATTGAATCATCGATGGCCTGGTGCTCCACTCGATTAATAACTTCATAACGCAATTGAAAACGTCATTTGAAAAAGAAAGTTGAAGGGGATGAACATCGGCACCAATACTTACCCCTTGATCTTTCGTGACTAAATTACGATGCTGCATTTTCGGATCATGTAGCTACGACATATCATACTTCGGCTGTGCGGAAACACTGTCTGTTGACCACGTATAATATCTAAATAATAGTCGGAACATCTGAATACTAAAAAGGAGTGAAATAAACAGAAAAATTCCATCATACCTAACGTTCCATAAGCCATCAAATTATCAATTACACATAGTTGATTAAATTCTTGAGCAGCTAATGCATTGATTGATGCAAATAATTCACTTTTTGGCATTCTCATCATGAGAAAGTAGCGCAATAGCAAATGATTTAAAGTGACGATTGACATTAGTTAGTCGAACACCAGAAGAGACAATTCATTCCAGGAGATTTTATATGTTGCATCAACGTTGTTTCGTAAATCATAGGCTAAAAATATTTCTAACCTATTTTTTCGACGTTCGTAATTTATTAAGCTTCTTGACTTTGTCTCTATTAACGGAGTACTTGGATGATCTTGCACTAACGATGGCATAATCTGAGAATTTAATAGTCCCAATTTGACGTATTTGGATACCGACTTTCGAACTGGTAGTGGTAAGCGTGTTATTGTGTTCTGTTCTTATTATTTATGTTAATGTCAATCCATGACATAACTGTCACTAATTATACATCGTTATCCGGTACGATTATCGAAATTTCAAAAGAATATAACTGATATCTTCTGTACTCAACGCATTTGAATGGAGATACTTTGTATGTTTCTTCAGATCTGATCGACGGTATTAAGATACATTGTATTTGAATTTTGTTAATTATTTTGTTTCATCATAAGATTGGACTGTGATAGAAAAAATTTTGTTAATCAAAACACATTTTTCTTCGGTTTCTTTACCAATAAAAAATATGGTCATAATTAAATATGTTCAACAATGATTCAAGATAATAACATACTAGATAGTGAATAGTTCAAAAACGTTCTCTTTAAACTGAGAGTCAAGCAAGATCTTCATTTTTCGTTGTTTAGACATCACATCGACTTTCTTAGGAGTTTAAGGCCTGGTTTTTACCATTGCTGGAGAACTTCAGAACATCGATTATCGGACATATGAGATCTGGTGGTGATATTTGTTTTTCAAAAAAAATCAAAAACCTAATTGTACAAAACAATCCATTTTAGACTATTATCATCGAAAATTAAAAAATTCCTACCTCACTCAAAATCAATTCAAATTATTTGAACATAAACCCTAGATGGGCTGCTCACTCTCCTGTATGAGTCTACGAAAGTATATTATGAGCTCTGTTTTCAGAAATTTTTCAAAAGTAAAAACACTTTTTTGATGACATATCTATATACATGAGTTTAAACTAAATATATTTTTAAATGATTCTATTGAATTTTGAGTGAGATATATAAGTTTTGTAATTTTTAATAAAATATTCTTCAATCAGTTTTACTTCATCGTAGTTAACTGCATGATCTATATCCGTTTTCTTGTTTCTTTAGATGACAATAAGTAAAAAAGATTTTATTAAATTTATTCATGTTTCCTTAACAATATATTATGGTTCTCTATTATCTATTGCTTTTCATCTGCTCATAGATGGTGTATTACAAACATTTATAGAGAAACATGATGATACTGCTGAATATTATCCAATACGTACTATATTGTATGGTTTATTTGAAATTATTGTTTTATGTTTTTTAATTTATGCTACATGGAAAAATCTACCATTATTACTCATTTTAGCCATCCTATTTCTTATTCTTCTATCAATTGTTATTGCCACAATGGAAATAATATTTACTATTTTATACCATACAGCACCTGACATTCGAACAACAGATATCCAGTATTATTTACTTACCCATAAAGTTATTCGATTAAGTGTACAGTTACTTTTTAATTTATTTTCAATATTAGCAACACTCTTTTTATATTATCATAGTAAAAGACCAAATAAGGAACAAAAAGATTTAATTATAGCAAAAAATTCTGTTACTCATTGAATTATGTAAACTCTATTGTTCATTTCTCTTCATCAATATTTTGATTCATTATTTTAATAACAATAACGCAAGTTATCCTATTAAACGATTTGTCAATGTTTATTTAACTATTGAATAACAATGGTTTACCCGGCAGATGAACTCATGTTAATAACCTTGCGTACAATGCTAGCCATTTTCAATTGTTTTTTACCAGGCATATGTTGAATAGATTTATTATTATTATTCGACATACTAATCATTCGTTGTAATTGCACACTTTTTGCTTTATTAACTAAATCAAATACAACATCAGCTGCCTTTGGACCAAATGTTTGAATTAATGTACATTTGACTTGATTATTTTTCATTTCATTTTTAATAAATTCTTGTATTGATAATTTTGATTCATTATATGCTTTGAATATTCGTTTCAATTCATTAACTACATTTTTTTGTAGTTGCTTTTGAAAATGACAGCCAGGTAAAAATGATATACCGGAGATTATACAAAATGCATCCACTGATGTAAATTTTGGTATAGTATGATTGACAGTTAAGCAAGGCTTAGATGGAACTATCTCTTGCTGAACAACAACATCTAAAAGAGTATCATCATATAGTCAAAAAAAATGTTTATAATATGCATAAAAGTTGTCATTTCAGTAAACAATATAGACATTTTCGATTTTTATGAGTTTTAAAATAGAAATTCATTTTGATACTGCAATAAACTATTTACTAGAAATTAATAATTACCGACTAAGAAATTAGTAAGTGATATGTTGAATGATTTATGTAATTCAGCCTCTTACCATCTTCTCAGTGTCAACTTCGAAGCTCCATTTACGCAACAGGTATTAAAACATGATTTACTTTTATGTGTCACTTGGTACGAGCTTGATGGCAGAAATTTCTTCAAAATTGATGAATTTGAATAACTATTATTTGCGTTTATAATGACTAGTGCCTTTTTTAATGAGTGGGACCATAATGACTTAGTTGTGCCATGATTAAGCAAATTGGAATGAGATTGAACAACTACTATCGATTTATTTTGTGATGGATGAAATCTTGACAGAATATGCTTGTTTTTTAACAAAATTTGTGAATTATTCTCAACTAATTGTGGATACAATATAATCATAAACATAGAAAAAAGTAGAACGTGTTGCATTCGAGTAACAATATGGAAAGTAGACTGTATCCACGCTTAATTCAATCAAAAATTTCTGTAATATGCTCAAAATGACTATAAAAACTATAGAAAATATAAAGCAAAATCCCTGGTTGCCTTGTGAATAATTCGAAAAAAATGATAGATAGACGCCACATACGTGTATAAGTCAAAAGTCGAATTCAAAGTTCGATAAAAGCCAATTTTATTTCGAGTATTCAAAATACCCTCGGAAGAGCGGTTGGAGAAAGCATGGAATTCACCAGCTCTACGACTTTCAAATTCGAAATTCAACTTTTCCTTTTCCTTTTTATTGACCATCTCGACTTGTGACCTGCCATTTTTATTTGCTAACGTTCATAAGGAAATAAATGAAAATGTCTGAAATTTTGTCCTCTACGAAAAACTAATTTTTTATATATCACAAGACTCGATGTATAATACGAAAGATCCGGTATGAGGAAAAGCAGAGTGAGTGTGAATTACTATTCACAATTTAGGGGGGATAAGCTATAGTTCGGTTTGCGTCATTGAAACTTCTATGAGGTGTTATGGTTTAAGGCGGAGGAGATATCATTCTACTTGTCTATTATGGCTGGTAAAAATTTGTGAATTGGGTCATTTTATAGACAAAAATGTGTTATTTGACTAGAGAGGAAAAAGACAAGCTCCACATTTTTGTGAAAACTTCCACGAACATGTCCATTCTCCGAAAGAGATGGAAGTTCGAAGTTTATTTATACAGAGAGAATCCTAGAAGGAAATGGACCTCGAAAAATGTTGGGGTTTATATAATCTTCATTTCTGTTTTGCCAGAATACTAGCTGCTTTCAAACATTTTTTGTTTTTTTCCCACATTTTCCTATCTATGCTGAAATTTTCAATGTTTTTTTCTCTTACTTTTTTCATTATTACTTTCCTCTTCCTCTCTATTTCCTCTCATACTTTTGTGAAAACTTTCTAGGACTTGACCATTTTCTGAAGAAGAAGAAAATTTGAAGTAAAAAGTTTATATACGAGGATATTTTTGTGGTTTCCAGGGGTGGGGGATTTTGTCAGCAGCTGTAAACACCATTTCACCCAAGCAAAAACGACCCAATTTTTTGGGTTATTTATCTAGATTCAGGTCCACGTGCATCTAGATGTACGTGGAGCTGAATCTAGATAAATAACCCAAAAAATTGGGTCGTTTTTGTTTGGGCAGTAGTTGTAAACTTTCGGGGTGAAATTGTGATTGATCCAATTTCAATATAAATTTGGTGTTTACAGCTCCTGAATCGACTGATAACAGACAGTGTATTATTGATCTGATGTTGTTGGACACAAGTTTTAAAAAGTATTATCATATCTCTTCATTTGAGCAGAAAAAGAAGCTATTAATTAGAAATTTCACTCGCGTGCTACTATTCTTATTTAACTTCGTTCTATTTTTATACATCTTCTATGTTATAGCCCAACAGTTCAATAGAAGTTTTCACATTTTGGCTTCGTAGAAGCAACGCTAACAAGCTTTTTATATTTTTTAATAGGCGTATGAGAGCAAATACCCTTTAATTAAAGATAATTCAGCACTATCAGTTGTTAAGTCTTTAACCGAAGAACGAGTGTGCATAGAATCCTCGTTCATAAATATATCCAACAAATAATATTTCGTGAAACTTTATTATTAATTCGAGCTGTCCGATAGAGAAAAAACAACGTTATTCATTGAGAAATCGTTCACAAAGATAACTCCTTGAACGCACGAAAACATTATTAAAACAGTATGCAACTTTAGCTAATAATACACAAACGTTAGTCTTTACTCAATGCATGAGCTGGCACATCTATGAAACAGACGTAGTACATGTCTAAGCTGACTATTCAGTCAATATCCTCCTTAGAACTTGTACTTCCCGTAAGGTCTTGAGAACAGAAATTTCAAGATCTTGAGCGAATCGAGTCAAAATGTTTTAAAGTATTGTGATATAAAACTTTGTACATTCTCTTTTCAAGAAGTCAAGACCTTGATTACAAGAAGTTCATTAAGGTATATTGTCATTTGACATACGACAAGTCTGTGTCCAGTTAACTTTAAAAAGTATTTGGGAGATATTCTCTGATACCCTCTGAGCCGCATATGATTCCTCCATAAACCGGCTTTCAAGTATCGATAATATTCGGCCTATAGACTGCAACGTCATAAGCATACTCCTACATGCACCATTATCAGACAAGAAAATCGATTTTGAAAATAGACCATTTTTTATTTTCGAGCTCCCGTACAACAATCGAGTGATTTGTACAAAATGAATTCATAGTTTATAGCAGAGGTACACTTATACAATACATACAATAATGGTGGTTATAATAACATATTGTTCAGGTAAAAAAACTTATGTGAAGATCTTTGCCCCGACAAAATTCTGTCATATTCTGCCATATCTAGCACATTTATTTTGCTCATGCTCAGAGCCATAGATAGTAGTCAACCTCGACTGGTTGTGCTGTGATATGAACTGCTAATTCGCTTCCTAGGTCGAGATACCAACAAAACAATTTTTGATTTTACACAGTTTACAAAAACTTCTATAATCCTTGAAGTAAGTATGGCCGGTCAAAAAATGTTGGAAGTCTTTCTAGATAGGTTGCCGCTGCCAACTGTAAAATTCCGAACGAAAAAATTTAGACATTGATTTAGCAACTAAGGTCGCTTCTACCATACAATAGCTCTTAAATCATATCGCCTCAAATGTCTTTCAATTAGCCAGTCAGGACTCTAGGACTTGTCCCCCGCTGAATTGTGGATAGTAACTCACTCTCACTGTGAGATAGCAAAAAATAGAGAATATGTTCGTGATTGAATTTCTGAAGATCTAGAAAGACACCTAGAAGGATCTTATTTTGTCTTTTGCTTTTAAGTCAATTATCTTTGTTTTGGCTTGGTTAAAAAATTGAACTTTTTATAACTCGGCGACGTATTAGTTTCGATTACTCGATTTGTTCTTCGGTCTATCACTAACAAAATTTGTTCAGAACAGTTCTAGAGATCATGAATTTTTTTAGCAAAGACTCTGAAAGTCTGAAACATGTAGACTTTATTAGTCGCAATGCCCTTTCGGATAATGCAACAAAGCTCCATCATTCATCAAATATTTTTGTACTGCTATTACATCAACTTTTTGTACATCGACATTTCCAGTTAACACAGACCAGGCGGCAGCATACCCAGCCGCTCCGCCTAATTGCATAAAATGTGGTTCAACACGTGTGGCTGAATAGGCCACATGTGTAGCGGCATGACAAACAGGCACTAATAGATTTGTTACTTGATTATGAGAAGGCACCATAATCGTATAAGGAATTTCAAATACGGGTCCACTTTTACTATTGGGTAATTTTGCTATTTTAGCTACCAGTTGTCCTTCATTATTTACGTGTGATAAGTTAGCTGTACGAGTAACAACATGAATATCGTAACCCCAGCTTCCCAATGCTACAGAATCCTCATAACATTGTCCACTGACAATATGATTTTGTGTAAATACATGATCATTGACAAGTCTCAAACCTTCACGGACATACATTTGGGGAGGTATATGATTATTATCGTTCCATTGATCATTGCACAATCCATATCGTTGTAATGTTGTGCGTGTATGTTCGGGGACCAATGATGATGTTAATATATACCATATTAGCCCCATCACATAATCATACGTGATCTGTTCAATCTCTTTTCTTTCTTCAGCAGTCTTCATAACATAACCTTTGTTCAAATTGATTGCATCACTTGTAAATCCACTTGTAGCACTGTCACACATATCAAATTTGTCACCATTTGGATAATTACGATAAGAAAAGACATCGACAAGTGTTTCAAACGGTGGTCCATTCGGATATTTTCCCGTAGCTATTAATGAATCAATGTATCGTTGTAATATAACAAAATTCGTCTCATTATAATTGGATGGTTTAGGAAACGGCGCTTGTTTAGACTGAGTGGGCGTTAGACATAAACGATAAGAATAGCCCATCATATTGTCATCAGCATTGCCCACCGGTAATAATTGATCAGGAGAAATGTATGGTGCAAGTGTACCATTCTCTAACGTTGCATTCACAGGATAATTTGGTAAGAAATTACCGAACGATGTGTACGGTCGGACGCCAGCGTAAGACTCATTATACTGTGATACTGATTCACGACCATACGTATAAGTTGCACCTGTAAAACGTGTTAAATCCCCATCATAACTAGCGTCAATCCACACGGATGCCGTCCATGTCCCAAGACTAATGATACGTGAACCATTCATTACAAGACTTGGACGTAGAATTGGACCGATTGAAGTAACTAATTCAATGTTTTTATATTGTGTTAATAAATCCAAAAAACTTTGTTGACTAATATTCATATCTGGTTGATACACTTTTGTCTTTGTACCATTATAATATTTGGCGTTGTTTTGAACCCAGTCGAAGGCAACTGTTCCAATAATTGTCTCTTCCAAACCCAAATCCCTAAGACCAATTCCACCGGCTGCACTCATGCCGCCAATGTTGGCAGACGGTTCAATCAGAGCAATTTGCAATGATGGAGAAGTGCGAGCTGCTGTAATGGCTGCCGCAATACCTGCTGGTGTTGCTGAATAAATGATAATATCATGAGCAAAGACATTCGTCAAAATAAGTATTAGCTGTAATTGAAATATTCTATGCATCCTGTTATTAAGTTGCTAGTTTCTTTTAGATCAGTTGTGATCATGTTCTTAACTTTTATGATGTGAAAGCGTCCATGTGCTTTCTCGTTGCCTCTCATTCTTTCGTCTTGCATAAAGATGAAATTGATTCTTATATGATTTCTATCACTCATTTTAAAAAATTAATACAAAAAGAGGAAACAATGAAATATTAGTAAGTACTAATAATGTTAGTAAAAAAAATAGATCTACAAACTACTACACTTCATATTGAAAAAACTCAAAAACCGTGGATTCACGATACATCAGACTATTGATAGTGTTTTCTGCTAATTTCATCTAGACATTACTGAAAATAAATTAGGAGCAGTTAACTATAAGATGCTAACATGCACTATACAATGGTGTATTCCGATCTGGAATAATTCACTCTTGGCTCGATTTTGTCGAGTTTTGCCTGAATTAGACGACATAAGTAAGGATGGCACTAGAAAATGTCTTTGAGGTAAATTTGATGAGAGCAAGTTTTTACAAAAACAAAGCAGATGAATAAGAAGCTGAGAAATGAGTAATCACAACAAAATAGTTAAAAGAGATATGAAAATAGGCGTGTTTATCTGTTGCAGATTCCAAAGATAGAAAAATAATTTTTTATAGCAACACACACTGTATGAGAAAACACTAGGAAAAACTTATTCACCATGCGTGAACGATAGCAGCGAGGAAAGTAATTTTAGCGGACGATAAGTATCTTGGATATCTGAATACTGCCAGAAGCTGTTCTACCAAGTCTGATTAGAAAGAAACGGCCAAGACATATTTTCTGTCCAAAGGATGCGAAACACGCGCGAATAAGTCATTATTACTCCTAAATGAAATTAATTTTTTTGTTAGCTATCGATAATACGTTAAGTAAAAAAACTTTATTCATCATAAATTTTTATCCGCAAAAGATTGTTAATATTCAAACATACTTTGACTCATCAAATTGTTTACTATCTTATTTAATCACCAATAAAAGATCATAACCAATCCTGAATGAATGAAAGATCTCATTTTGGAACACTTCTTTTTTAAGAATGTGACGATTTGGTTTTTATGTGTGATTTTTTAACTAAATTTTACATATAATTCTGTATAATAGATAAAATTTTTCCAGAAGACTTGTTACTGGTATGTAGTGAAAGCTTTCAACTGGTTTATCTTTTTTGACTGAAGTTGATAGTCAAATAATGGATGCAAGAAACAAAATATCCGTTTGTGTACCAAAAACTTGTTTCACCTGGTTTTTTGTTTACTTCGAATTTATCGTAATTTCAAACACATTTTCATCACGATAAATTATATCAAATTTATCGGGTAACTTTAATTCGACAAAAAATCTCAGTTTAGAATTTAGAAAGTTTATTAAACATATGTTTCGATTGGTTAGTAGTAGACAAGTGATGTGCATTATTTTGTGTATTTTTTGTGTTCAGGTGTATAGTTTACTCCTTTATTTAATAGTATTTTAACATAACTGGTAAAACTAATTTTAATCCAAGAGTATTATGATGATTTACAGTAGATTTTATGCACAAAATATTGATATAAGGAAACAGGTAGGTTTATTATAAAGCTCTAATGATCAATTTGTTTGAATAATGATTATTGTTCTTACAATGAAAATCACGTTCGAGAAATTTTTTTGTCGTTTTTATTCCCTATTAGGGACGATCTCATCAATTATCTGCCTTTGATATCTTATAATAGGATGATTTCGATAGATAATGATGATTTTCATAATTCATATATGAAAATCTCTATCTGAATAAAGAAAAGAAATTATTTTTCTAGGCAATAGAAAGAACAAACAAATACCTTTTATAGTACAACAAAAACAAAATTTTTTTGTTGACCCTATAACATATGTTCTTCGAAAGTGATGGTGTTAGTAGTGTGATAATGAGAAATACGTATGTACATATCATTCATTATTTGTCTTATTCTTGCGTTAACTTTTACGTCATGTTGTTTGTAAATAAAAGGCGTCAGTAAAATACTGACATCGATAATCAATTGACACAGCATGAAATAAATACCTTGAGATTGACGATGAAAGAGAAAGTTTTGATGGAAAAACAAAGATGTCAAATGAGCTTTACAATTTCTGGTGCTTTTGTATCTACTCGATTTTGATAGAGAACCTGTTTAACGAAATAGAGTATGGTATGTTTAAAGATGATATAATTTCTTTGTACTGTTAAATTTAAGTTCTTCTTGTTCCAATATTTTATCGTAACGTGATGAGAAAAAAAATGTTCAAAGCCCACAACAGAGATTCATCATGGTACATTTAGATGTAACCAGACTGTAGGGCTTCGTCGAGTTATCTACGTGCAGACAAGTTTTCAGGTATAATAAACATAATTTCACAGAACTAACAGAAAATTGATTTTAGTCAGCTAAGAATTCTTGAGATTTTTTTTCTTCTTGTTTTCGAATCGAGGTGAATTATCTGGAAAGATTCCCTCATGAGCGTAACATTTAATTATAGTGAGGTCGTGTAAGGACTTGTGATTCAGATAGGATCATAAACTCCAGATGCAATAGGAGTACTCTAAGGCAATAACGGAACCAAAGTTGGTTCAATAAGCAGAAATTATACTGGTTAGTAAATGAAGTACATAACAATAAAGAGTAAGCAAATCCAGTAAATATGTTTGTCAATCTGATCTATAATTATCCAGAATAATGGTATAGAGATTGACATCAACCGACTATACCTTGAATCGATGTTTTCACTTTTTCTCTCTCTCTCTCTCTCTCTTTGATTTTTCCTCTTTACTCACATAGAAAAATGAAAAGGAAATGTTGATGACAACAAGAGCCTCCTTCTAGAGACGACCAAATCTATTTAGAACAATATGATGTCATCGTATTATTATATATTAAAATCTGTATACCAATATAAAGAAGTAAAGTGGCGGTACTGATAAGTCTTCCTTTTCTTTCTCTAGCCGTTTTTTTTTTATATCGATAGGCTGAAGTACAAGATAAGTCATTGTCTTCACGGATATTCTAAAAAACTATTTTCCATCATAAAAACACACATATACCCATTATTATTGGTTTACAATATAATTATAGAGAGCAATAGAGAATAAAAGAAATTGGGTCTCTTTTTTTTTATTTAATGATAAATATATAAGTGTGGTTAGATACACAACACATACAAAAATCATACATTCATCAATTCTTGTCACTGATTTTCATGTCGCCAAAAAAGAACAATTTATATAATAGAAGGAGATGAGATGTAAAAAAACATGAATATATATGACATATGTTCGCATCGTAGTGTCGTTGTAGCTGTCGTGTTGTTAGTAATAGTAATAATAAACGAACAATAATAGTAATAATAATTTTTTTTGAAAATGAGAATTCTTCGAATACCGATTACTGGTAGGAAAGTTGTCGTACAGAAACAGGTTATTAACGTAAATTTTTATCATAATAGAGAAAAAAAATACTGAGAAAATCGTTATTACAAACGATCATTGTTGCTCTTCAAAACCAAATGTCAAAAACAAAAAGATGTTTTTAATGCAAATACTATCATGTACTAAAGTTAGATAGAGGGTATTGATTTTTAGTGTTACAATCAATCATTTTAGCATTTTAAAAGTAAATGCTTCTAAAAATGATTGCCTATTACTAGTAGCTAGTAAATTTTAATACCATTTTCGTTTGTACATATATTTTATGAGATAAACGGTCAACTTCTTACGATGATTACCAAATAATCTGATGCTACTCTCCATTTTAAAATAGAATGTTAACAGTTATATTTTTCTGAATATCTCTAGAACGGTGAAAGTTAGAGAGTTCGGATTCTTACCATTTTTTTTTACAGAAAACTGTACTCTATCTTCTGCCGGTGTTATATATCTCGATTTTCCGATAGTGCACGTGTTGATTGAAAAAAAGATGAAGTTATCACGTGTTGAAACCAGAATAGATTTTAAATTCTAAGACTATAGTGGAATAAGCCGAAATATCCTCTATAAAAGTAAGCAAATCCACAAAATTGTGTTTCATATGATTTTAGTAGCACATTTCTGAGATACATGTATCTATCTCATTCTTTTGCATTCATACGATCTAAAGAATATATGGATATACAGGTTAGTGAACACTTTTAATCCTGTGACAATGATAATTTTCAGAAAAATTCTAAAGAAACGTAGTCAACTAGTTTTGAAGAAAGTGTCGTATTTTTAGCTGTAAACAGACAAAAGTGAAAAACTGACATCTCACTTAAAATCTAACTAAACTACTTGAAACATTCAGAAAATATTCTATTTTAGTTAATTTGTCTATTGTCAAAATAAAAAACATTTTTTTCTTATCCATAGATTTTGTTTGATGTTCGTCATTCTTTGGTACTCTGTGTATTCACCCTAGTAGGATTCCTGCTTCGTTTCGCACCAAGAATGTAGCTACATCTTAGCGCGATCTTGACAAGAAATTAGAAAATTTTTAGAATAATCGCTATTGCGATCCCGCCTAATCTTTATCTTTTTCCAGTGTAACGAAAATTTCACTATCTTGACATGAAAATATTTTGACGATATCGTGCTGAAATCACATAAGAATCGCGATAAGATTGAAAGAGGATCTCCTAGTGAAAGCATCTTAATGGCATCACGACACGATTATGCAAAGATTCCTGTACTATCAGAACTAAGTTGCATTTGGGCTAAGGGGACTTTTATGCAATATGTCTGTTTCAGCTATCTTCTTAAGACATAATTATAATTAGGCTTTCACTGTGCATATCGTTTACCTGCGAAGGCAAACGATACAGGAAAAGTCATTTCTAACTCAGGATAATTCAAAGTGAGCATACAGCAAATGCGTCTTTCTGCCACTTCAACTTTAAATTCTTCCGTTATCTATTGTTACACTACTGAACTGTTTTGATGTAATTTTTGACATAATATGGTATATTTTTTAAACTCCTGTTATATTTATTAAGCTATCTCTTCATTATATTTCTCAGTTTTGGTTTGTCATGTTGTCAGACTTTGTTCTTAAAATAAAAGTGAAATTAAAGCTAATGTCTTCTTGATTCACTTGTGAGTTTTACCGATAAGGTAATATCTGTCGTATGTGAAGAAAACATTCACCCTATCAGAGAATGCGTATCCGCAGATACTAGACGCCAATATCGGTTCGTTGCTAGAGCCAATCTAACATCCTGTGAATGAGGCGGTATAGCTTGGTACCCAATCCTCCCTGCGTTAAACAGAATCGAACTGAATTTCGCTACATCATGAAAGTCCCCAACGGGAAAACGATCTTACACGTTTCAGGACTCATATTTGCGATGACCGAATGACCATTTCTCACTTTTATGCTTTTTTATTGTCATCTCCCAGATCAATCTGGTTAACTGAGCCTATACAATGAAGAGTAGACCTTAGTTTCGGTGCATCATGCTTTTCTTATAATTCCCAAAACTTTTAATGAGATAGTTCAGTTTTGTGACAAAACATATAGAGTTTGATTTGATTTTTCGTCGTCCTTTTTATCAAATTGCTGTGTTGCTTACTCTGAAGTTAAATATCTAAAGTACTTAGCTTTTATACCTTTTAATGATCGTTCAATTAAAAAAAAGCAGATTAAAACACGTAAAAAGTAAGAGTAAGAATAATCTTCATCTTCACGGTGTATTAAGAAAAATAAATAACTATATAGACAATGTGCATTCTTCTTTTCTTTTTTTTAATAAACAAACATATCGTATAGATACGTTTGATACACAAACACGTCTAGTCTATACATAATTCAGTTAAATGAATATACACAATGTGTACATTTGTTTAAGTGAATTATATAAATATACATGTTTTCGTTGTCTGCTATTTATCCGCATTTTAAGTATTTTCTGCTTTCGCTGTTTTTCCCCGAGTTAAAAATTCGTTTAAACTCATCGTTAC